CCTGGTCCCTTTGCAGAAAAACAGCCCCAAAGCATGATGTTTCCACCCCCATGTTTCAAAGTAGGTATGGTGTTCTTTGGATACAACTCAGCATTCTTTCTCCTCCAAACACGTCTAGTTGAGTTTTTACCAAAAAGTTCTATTTTGGTTTTCATCTGAGATCTTGCGTGGAGCCCCAGATCGAGGGAGATTATCCGTGGTCTTCTATGTCTTCCATTTTCTAATAATTGCTCCCACAGTTGATTTCTTCACACCAAGCTGCTTACCTATTGCAGATTCAGTCTTCCCAGCCTGGTGCAGGTCTACAATTTTTTGTTTCTGGTGTCCTTTGACAGCTCTTTGGTCTTGGCCATAGTGGAATTTGGAGTGTGACTGTTTGAGGTTGTGGACAGGTGTCTTTTATACTGATAACGAGTTCAAACAGTTGCCATTAATACAGTTAACAAGTGGAGGACAGAGGAGGCTCTTAAAGAAGAAGTTACAGGTCCGTGAGAGCCAGAAATCTTGTTTGTTTGTAGGTGACCAAATACGTATTTTACCGAGGAATTTACCAATTCATTCATTAAAAATCAGACTGTGATTTTCTGGAATTTTTTTTCTCATAGTTGAAGTGTACCTAGGATGAAAATTACAGGCCTCTCTCATCTTTTTAAGTGGGAGAATTTGCACAATTGGTGGCTGACTAAATACTTTTTTCCCCCACTGTATCTCTCCATCCCTTTCCCCTGCAGCTCCACCCCAGCCTGTGTACAGTGATGTCACCATGATAGCTCTCACCAGTGTCACCAGTCTGCTGCTGGTCAGCGCCGCCATCGGAGGAGCTCTGCTTCTCTACGCCTATCTGTGTAAGGGTATGTCTCAGTATAACCAAAGTGCATTTTTACTCTTTAAACTATTCAACAAGTCTAGCCTGAGTTTGAAGTGAGAGTGTGGATGTGAGGATAATAGGTGTTATGGAGATTGTTATAGCACATATTATGTTCACTTCAATAAGGGTTGTCGATGGAGTAGGAACAGAGTGGTGATTTCTGTTGTAAATCTAATAAGGTTTTTGATTGTTTACATTTTAGTATTGGTCTTTCTTTATAATATCATTATATATTTATTTTTCTGATTCATTATGGGTTGGATCAGTTGGCTCACATGAGTATGGGCGGAACTCTTGGACAATATAATCAGCTGTTGACCTGTGTGAGGTGTGTGTGGAAGAGAGGGTGAAAAGGGTCACTGTTTTTTTTTGTTGACGACAAATTCTTTATAGCTGGATTAATTGGACCACATGTTTTTGCACTTCATAATTTGTTAATTAAATCAACATTTTGTTGAATGCATTTTTTGATCTCAGCAACTCATTTTTGTTGCATGTCAGACAAAGGCACGGCTGACATCAGCCTCTGAGCGACTTCTGTTGGTTTCCTGAAGTCGCTACGGATGGAAGACATTTAAACCCAAATTCATTCCAATGCAAATTTTCCTGAAATATTTCAGTGGTCCAACACACCAGAGGGCATTTACCTTCTGCCTGGATTTAAGTTATTCTCTAGAAAAACAGACTGGAATTTGCCCACAAAGAAGATGTACTTACATCCTCTTCATCCCTTTTGTCAGAATGTTTTGTTACCTAACAATATTTCTGAGAGAATTCTTTTAATTTCATAACCTTCATCTTAAGGCTACTTCGCAGAGTGAGGTTATGTTTAAAACATGTGATAAGCTTATTGAATGTTTACATTTCAAATATAAGGACAAACCAGGATGTACAATACAAGTGGGCGTTTCTCATCATAATTCTTCCAAGAACTTAATTTCATTGATGGTGACTGTGCAGCCATCAGAATAAAGTGGGGGGAGGGTTTATTGATTGGAGAGGCGTTATTCTCCTCTATAATAAATGATCCAAGTTCGACACACTTTCAGAATGAAAAGAAAACCCTTTATTGTCTTTGTCTTATCTGTGCAACAACAGTCCTATTTCTCTCCTCAGCTCCACCAAGTGTTTCTGAGATCAGCAAACCCAGCATCATTTATGCTCAGGTGCAGACGGAACTCAGATGCACCATCAGAGGAGCTGGACAGCGGGAGCTCAGAGTGAGGTGGTCTACACTCAGTGCAGGCTCAGAGGAGCTGTCAGAGGGGGGCTCTCTGCTGGGCGGGGGGGATCTGAGTGACCAGGCCTGTCTGCTGTCAGACTGTCAACACCACACATCCGTCCTGACCGTGTGTCTGACCGTCTCTGAGGACCGAACCCAGTACCAGTGTGAGGTGCTGTGCAGGGGCCAGAGCATCACCAGAGTGACCACAGTCCGGGTGAAAGGTGAGGAGGTGGAGCGTTCTGTAACAGCAGCAACTAGGGAGCATTTCTACGATATACTTTGATTCAGTATTGTAATCATTTCTAAGTAACTGTATCCCAAACATTACTTTTTATTGGTGACTTTGTTTGTGGCTTCTATGAGCAACTTCTTTCACATTGTTTTCAGTTTGTCATTTGACACATTGTTATTTAAAATAATTGATTGACTTGAATTGAAGTCACAGGCTATCATGAAGGAAACGTATACATAAATATGTGCATAATGCAAGAATATATCAGCGAGACAAGTTCACTTAGTCAAGATCCTTTTAGCAAAAAATTCATAGAAGCACATTTCCTTTAATAAGGATTTGTATAACCTCGTTATATTATTTATCAGAACCAGTGAGATCAATTGTGTAACTGCTTAAGGACCGTTAAGGTCATCCTTTCACCTGTTATCCTTAAACCTCAAAACTAGTTCTCTTGGAAACCCTTCACCTCAAAAGCAGAGTCATTGTTCAACAGATGGATAGTTATGTTCTGAGCTTTATTCTCTCCTCCTGTGAATGACACGGCTGCCCCCCCTCTCACCACACTGTCACCCCTGCAGTGGAGCCGTCTTTCCTCCAGATCACCAGCATCCCTCAGATCCCCAAGGTGGAGAGGAGCCTGGTCCTCTGCTGTCGGCTGGAGAACTTCTACCCCCAGGAGGTGGACCTGGAGTGGTCCAGGAACGACGGGGAGCCGGTCTGTGGGGTCACACACTTCGGACCTTTCTCGGACCACACCCAGCTGTACAGCCTGTGGAGTAAGATCCAGCTGCTCATGGCCAGAGAGGACGAGAGGGCCGTCTACAGCTGCCGGGTCTACCACTCCAGCTTCCCTGCTCCGGGGTACAAGGACGCCCTGTACCACATCAACACTCAAGGTAGCTCCACCTAACCTCTTACTGTTGGTTTGAGCAAACCAGCTTCTATTGACTTCCTACAGTGGTGGAAAGCAACTCATTACATTTACTCTAGTACTGTACTTACGTTTTTTAGGTACTTGTACTTCACCCGAGTAATTTCCTTTTATACTACTTTATACTTCTACTCTATGTTGTCATGAGAGAGAGAGAGAGCGAGAGAGAGAGAGAGAGAGCGAGCGAGAGAGAGAGAGATTTTGAAAGTTTGTAAGTTTGTACAAAGACATACCAATAAATCTAATGAATTCAGATCAATGTATTACAAAAGAAAAATTCCAAACATTAGAAGAAACTATTAAAGACAACCAAAACCCCCTTGATTTCCCAATGACTTGGGAAGAATTGACCAGACAGACACAATCTCTCCGGCCAAGGAAAGCTTGTGGCCCAGACAACATTAAAAACGAAATGCTCAGATGCAGCACCCCAGAGATGCAGGGTGCGATGTTAAAGCTGTTCAATATCGTATTGCAGTCAGGATGTTTTCCTGACATCTGGTGCAAAGGGCTCATCTCCCCCATTCATAAGAGTGGAGACAAATCAGACCCTAATAACTACCGTGGCATCTGTGTCAGCAGCTGTCTGGGGAAATTATTCTGTAGTATTCTAAATAAAAGAATACAAGATTTCCTTAACCAACAATCCATCTTGAGTAAAAATCAAATTGGCTTCCTTCCAAAACACCGCACCACCGACCATGTATATACCCTTCACACTTTAGTTAACAAACATGTACACCAAATAAAACATGGTAAGATATTCACTTGTTTCATTGATTTCAAAAAAGCTTTCGACTCTATTTGGCACGAAGGGCTCTATTATAGACTTCTACATTGTGGTATAGGGGGCAAAATGTATGATCTGGTTAAATCTATGTACAGTTGCAAGAAAAAGTATGTGAACCCTTTGGAATTACCTGGATTTCTGCATAAGTTGGTCACCACGGAGGAAGCCACTGCTGTCCAGAAAAAACATTGCTGCACGTTTGAAGTTTGCAAAAGAGCACCTGGATGTTCCACAGCACTACTGGCAAAATATTCTGTGGACAGATGAAACCAAAGTTGAGTTGTTTGGAAGGAACACAAAACGCTATGTGTGGAGAAAAAAAGGCACAGCACACCAACATCAAAACCTCATCCCAACTGTGAAGTATGGTGGAGGGAGCATCATGGTTTGGGGCTGCTTTGCTGCCTCAGGGCCTGGACAGATTGCCATCATCGACGGAAAAATGAATTCTCAAGTTTATCAAGACATTTTGCTGGAGACCTTAAGGCCATCTGTCCACCAATTGAAGCTCAACAGAAGATGGGTGATGCAACAGGACAACGACCCAAAGCACAGAAGTAAATCAACAACAGAATGGCTTCAACAGAAGAAAATACGCCTTCTGGAGTGGCCCAGTCAGAGTCCTGACCTCAACCCAATTGAGATGCTGTGGCATGACCTCAAGAGAGCGATTCACACCAGACATCCCAAGAATATTGCTGAACTGAAACAGTTTTGTAAAGAGGAATGGTCCAAAATTNACGTTTTCTGTAAGTCTTCACAAGGTTTTCACACACTGTTGCTGGTATTTTGGCCCATTCCTCCATGCAGATCTCCTCTAGAGCAGTGCCCCAAAACATCACTGCTCTAGAGGAGATCTGCATGGAGGAATGGGCCAAAATACCAGCAACAGTGTGTGAAAACCTTGTGAAGACTTACAGAAAACGTTTGACCTCTGTCATTGCCAACAAAGGGTATATAACAAAGTATTGAGATGAACTTTTGTTATTGACCAAATACTTATTTTACACCATAATTTGCAAATAAATTATTTAAAAATCAGACAATGTGATTTTCTGGATTATTTTTTCTCATTTTGTCTCTCATAGTTGAGGTATACCTAGGATGAAAATTACAGGCCTCTCTCATCTTTTTAAGTGGGAGAACTTGCACAATTGGTGGCTGACTAAATACTTTTTTGCCCCACTGTATATAACATATCATAAATGTGTATTTTAGTAGGAAACAAGGTTAAATGAGAGTCTACATAATGACAGAAAGAAGAAAAAGCAGCACCCTGAACAGTCAGTGTGACAGACGTGTTGTACGGCCAGCTGTAGGTCTTGTGCTCCACCTGGCACATGAGGCTCATCTCTCCACCCTTCACTGCTGACGAGTGCATGGTGATGCCACTGCGGATGCTGAAGGTGCCATCTGCATTGTGAATGGCAATTTCGGTGCAGACACGGGACAGGGGGCTTAACCCTGCGAGCACAGTGCGGGAGCCATTCAGGATTAGCCACGTCACGGCCAGTTTCTCTGGATAGAAACCTGTGATGTCACACTGTATCGTCTTCTCCTCCCCCTCCGTCACTGCTGCCTTCTCTGGGAGCAACACTGAAGGCCGCGCTGGGGGCGGGAGCAAAAACATTACATTGTCATTTTTGGGTGGGGTCTTACTCCCTAAAATGTAACATAAAAAACGTCTCTTTCTGGGATGAAACTTTGAAGCACGCTGATATATTGTAATGAAAATATTATCAATTAAACAGAACGTAATAAGTTGGTGGCAGAGGTGGGAGAAGTACTCAGATTGTTATGGCCTAGAGATATTGGACCCCAAAGCAAAAGACTTCGAGAGAGAGATGGTCAAAAACAAAACGTTTATTTTAAGCAAAGGCACAGGTAACGGCAGTGGAGGCAGGAAGCTGGCTGGCATGGAGACAGAGAGGACAGGAGACAAAAATCCAGGTGACGAGATCACAGGGACGAGGAGAATGGCGAGACACACAGGAGGGTCGAACACAACGGAATGATCTGGCAGGGAAGTGGCATGAGGACCGGGCTTTTATGTCAACAGGTTGAAGAGGTGAGTGAAAGGTGTGCCTCATCTGCTGCTGGGAGGAGCCAGCCAACTCCCTGTCACACACCAGCCCTGCAGTGAAAAACAGAGGGGGGAGACAGAAGAAAACACAAAAAAAGCACACAACAAAACCAAAACTTAACAGAATCATCACACAGATCTTGTACTTGAGTAAAAGTTGAGTAGGAATACTCTGTTACAAGTAAAAGTACTGCATTCCAAATGTTACTCAAGTAAAAGTAGAAAAGTATTCTCATCAAATATAGTTAAAGTACTAAAAGTAAAGTAGTGATTGTGCAGATTGGTCCATTTCTGAATAATATGATATGTTTTATAATGATTGATCATGAAAGTGTTCTCAAAGCTGGTAAAGGTGCAGCTAGTTTGAATGACTTTGTATACTGCAGGGTAGCTTGTGAATTTACTCCAGTACCGAAGTTCAATAGCACCCACCCCCCACTTTATAACTTCACAATTGGCTATAAAAAGCAGTATGGGTAATTATGTTGGCACAAAGCCTCCATAACAGCAATCTGAGACATTTGGAGGGAGATCTGTGACAGTGTTTCAAGGAGCAGAACATGTTGTGCTAGCGTGCGTGACACAGAACAGAGTAAATACCCAGCACTTCCAGTGAGGTGGTCTCTGTGTAGACCACAGGGGTGATGATTCTGCAGGAGTACAGCCCTTCATCTCCCACAGTCACATTGTGGAGCTGCAGAGAAGCATCACTCTGTAGCAGCTGCATTCTGTCCACCTCAGAGCCCTCTCTGTTCACATGCGCTCTTCCATCCTCAAAGGTGTACACTACGCTCTTCTCTGCATGTGTATCCACCACGTTCCACTCAATGGTGAGAGTGCTCCACTCCACCAGCCTGGACAGCTTACCAAACAGGCAGCCCAGAGTCACATCTGCCCCCACCAACACACTGAGCTGCCGGGTGGTGTCAGATGAGGAGCCTGGAAACATGAGAGTGAAGTTTGCAAAAGAAAAACAGTCAAATAAACTGCACAAGAGAAACAGCTTCCTTCTGAAACAATGCTGCTTACCTCCACAGTGGCAGACAATAAGCATTACTTGAATCATCACTTTTATATTCTTTAGGTGCTGCATTTGGACGATGTCAGAACATTATGAAGTACAGAGTGCTCGCACAGCTCAAAGACATTCCCTGGACTGAGGGTCACGTGGTAGCTGTGTGAGGATCATGTTCAGTAGGGCTGGGCGGTAAACATTCACCTGGTTTTTCAGGAGGTATGAATCATGGAGTGCTGTTCTAATGCACCTCCTCCTGGACTCTGACCTGGGGCTGACACCTCCTCCTCATGGTGCCCAGACTCATACTTTCATTCTTCTCCCAGTAGGACTCCTCTGCTCTCTCTCTTCTTTCTTTTGTTAGAGCCGTTATCATTCAATAATGATAGAGGTCCCTGGTCTTCTTATTCTAGTGGGAATATTTCAGCAAAACATATCTAAACTTTCAAAATGCATATGTCCAAAATCCAAAGATCTGTTATCTGTGTGCAAAATAAATGCATAATGAGCTGCATATCATTCCTGGTATGATTAAGTGTTTAAAAAGGAACATATCTCAGTAACAGCACTGATTCAGTGATTTCAGGGGGAAAGATAGCTAGGTAACTACAACTAGGATCCACATAAAGCCTACCTATGACCAGTTCAAAAGAAGAAAGGATTTGAAGTCAGGTAAATAATGTCATCATAACATATTTTGAACTGATAAGCATTACATTCCTGAATGCTTACTTTATTGTAAGCAACAGCCTCTGAGGTCTGTGTAGCATTAGTACTAAATGTGAAAGTATCAGTAAATATGGATGAAGGTGCTGATGAATCATGCTAAATCTCACTCAGTATGTAACATTTCACAGGTGCAAAACAACATGCTTTTTCGAACTCCATATTTCTATTATATCTGCCTCCCATGAGAAGAAAAAAACAATTTATTCACAACATTTTTTTATTTTATGTTGGATATTTTTTGCACAATGAAAGCTTTGTAACTATAACTGATTTGTATAAACATGATCTCCAGAGGCCCTGAACACAGAACGGATCTTCACCCCACCATGGACCTCTTCCTCCCTCTCAACCGGACTTCCTCAAGCTTTTTAATGACCGCTGAGGACTTCTTGGATGCCGCTGCGTAGCTCTTCAGCAGCCTCTGGAACAGCGCCTCTGTGTGGGGGTGGGTACTGAGAAAGGCTTTCTCCAGCACGTACAGGTCCACCCCCTTATCCTCGGGCAGAGCGGAGATGTAGCTCAGGCCGAAGTCGATGAGGAACAGCTCCGACACCCCGTCCTCCGGACCGCATCTCAGCAGCATGTTGGAGGTGGTCAGGTCTCCGTGGATGACGTCCTCATCGTGCATTCTGGCCAGGACCTGCCCCACTCTCTCAGCAAGCGGCTCCAGACCCTCACAGCGAGCAGACGGGGGGGAGGAGGCGATGTGGTCCCGCACAGTCGAGGAGCCCACAATCTCCTCCAAGAAAATACTGTGGGATGTGTAGTCCACAAAATAGACTACCGGGACAGATATTCCTGAGGAGAGAAGACGAAGAGTTTTATTTAAAACGTGTACGTTGGCCTCTTAAGATTCAAAATCAAATAGTAAGGACCCTGTGTTTTCTAGCATCAAATCATAAGGACGTCATTATTCTACATTTCTTTATTTTCAACCAGATCAAAACCAAAAAAGTACATGTCTGCACATCTTTACATACTTTCTGACCTCTGAATCTGTATGTGCCTATAGAAAATGGGTTACTACTGAAAAACAAGGAGAACAACAATATAAATAATGAAATAAATAATGAGTGTTTTCAGTTTTCAATCTGTTAATATATAACAGTAAAAATACAGATGTCACACAGGACCAATACACAAGGATTGTATGTCGAGGTGTCATGTCTCAGGGTTAGAGCGGCCCCAACATTTACATCTTTGGGGGAAAACTGAACAATTATTCACATAGCTGGTAAATAAATAAAAATAAAACAAACATAGAGGACTAACTTCAGCTGTGAATAAATCCCTTTATTGTTATTTAATTTTGCATGGTTGATTCTAAAAGAGAAGGATTATTATTCTGCAGTTTCAAGTTTGGGATGTTGTGATCTCTATTTTTCAAATGTTATAAAATCCAAAATTAATAAAGGTGATAACAAAAAAATCTTTATACACTATAAAGTTTTGTTTTATATCCATGTTGTGTTCTTCCAAGACATCTGCACAGCTCCATAGTGGAACACAACCCACTAGTCTCTCTAACAGGCAGACAGTGAGATGCAGCCCCAGCACGGAGAGCGGTGTTCACTTCTGTATTGTAGTTAGGTCAGTGAAAATTGAATAAGCTACTTTTATTTAATGTTAATGAGTGGTCTGACACTGACCCCTCAACGGTGTCAGTGTGTGGGGGGGACTCGCCTGCTCGGCGGCACCGCAGCACGGAGCGGACCTCCTGCACCGTCCTGCGGTGGGTCAGCTTCTCGTCCAGCAGCGGGTGTCTGTACTGTTTCCGGAACCTTTCCTTAACAATAGTCGGCCTTCCCAGGAACCTTGCCCGGTACACTCTGGCTTCTGCTCCCTGTTTAAGTAACTCTGCTTTACTGAGGAACTCTGGGATCGCCGCCATGCTCTTCTCCTTGGCCATGTTTACTTCCGGTTTTCTTCTTCTTCTACGCTCTGTCTGTCTGCTGCTGTGTTCACATAGGCTCCCCCTGGCGGCCACAGATCAACACATCTCAACGACAGAGAGAAATGAAAACAAAACACAGTATTGAGTGACTCTCGTGAGTTTCATGTATTTTCTCACGAGAAACTCAGTTTATACTGTGTTTTGTTTCAATTAATGTATCATTTAGTTACAAATATGTGATATATCTGAACAACAAAGTGGTCAAAAATCGTTTTATTCATTTATTGGATATTTTCAAGATCGCTTTTTTCGTTTACATTTTAAGAATGGCGTTTATCTTTTGTAGAATGAGTTCTTATTTTATTTTATTTATTTGGGTCTACAACAGATGATACAAATGTCAGTAAATAGGCCTTCAACCCCTGTGCTTGCCTGCAGTGGTGGAATGTATAATTGGACAGCCTTCTGGGGAAAACCTGGTCTGATTAAGAGAGACGGCATGAATCCTACTTTGGAAGGTGCAAATCTCATTTCGGCAAACATTTCAGGGCT